GGGGTGGGTGGGGAGGATCTCGCTCTCTTTTAAGGAAAAAGAAGACTATTCCCCCTAGGCTGTTTAAACCCGGCAAGGGCGGCGAGCGTCGCTATTAGTGTTAAATATATGGCTAATTATGCGTATGAAAATTAAACATCAGTGTTATGCTAATGGGGCCGCCTTCAGCTGTGGGATCAGAGCACTTGAGACTAGCATTTAATCAAATGAATCAGTAACTAATACAGCTGCACGTGTGAACTTTGCGTAAGATCAGTCCCCCCCCCCCCCCCCGCCGTCCAGCTTCTCAGTCTCCCGCACACACAGAGCCTTAAATGATGGGAGAAATAATTAGCTGCGCTTTCTAATTATTCGACGCCAAAAGTCACTTGGGCTTCCGCCCAGATTGCCTTGCCCGGCCTCTGCCTCTGAAATCCCCGCTGCCGGCCCCTTGGCCCCTGGCCGGGCTATGAACTGGGCAGGGGCACATCCCAGCCCCCAGGAGGAAGGGTGCTCCGGGAGACGGGGTCAGGCCAAGAGGTCCCTTCGGAGCCCCCGGGAGGCTTGTGTGCGCCCGCGCGCCCCTCCGGCTTGGTGGGGACGGGAGACGCGCTGCCCTGTTGGTGTCCCCCTCCCACCCCCCGCGAGGCATCCGTCTGAGCGCGCGATCCTACGCAGAGATGCTCCAGGCCAAGCACTGGACGAACCCGGCCTCCGCCTGACGGACCTCTGGTTTCCTGACCAACGAAGCTTCCCCAAGAAGGCAGCGGGAACTCCAGCGGCCCTTTGGTGGGCCCGTTTTCCCGCCCGGTCGAAGCAGGCCGGCTTTCCAGCGGCACCACGGGGGCCGGGCGCTTGACCCTGGGCCGTGAGGGATCCGCGCTCCTTCTCAGCCGCACCACACCGACGGCCTGAGGCTCCAGATGGGCGTCTCGGGCCCAGCCCTCCCGAGGGCTCCTTTTCTCCGGGGGCCGCGCTCTTCCCTCCCCCACTGACCCTGGTTGGAAGCGCGTCCCCGGCTGGGAGCCCCCAAAGGGAGGACCGGGTCTCTCGAGTCGATGCTTTGCCGGCCAGGGCCGCCGAAGGCCGACTTGCAACCCCGGGCAGCCAAGAATCCCCGTCTCTCCTCCTGTCTGGGGATGACCCCCGAAAGTTGGCCCCCTCCCCAAGAAGCCGGTCGTCTGTGGCCCCCAAACGCTTGAAACCCCCACTGGAGAGGGGAGGCCAGGGAGGTCCCAGGGGGGAGATGGAGAAAGCTCCTGCGGGATGAGCCTCCGCGCGTCCTCATCCCCGAAGCCGGGTGGGCAGGATCGCACCCACAGGCAGCCTTTGTCTGCCAGCACTTTGTTTAGAAAACAAAAAACCACACGCACACGGCCCAGCCAGACGAGTCCTCCGCCGAGCATGCCCACACACCCAATGCGTGCGCCTCCTCCCCACGCACACCAGGACGGCCGCCGCCAAGTTTGGACGGCTACGCTCCCTTCAGGTACAGGGGGGAGGGGGAGGGGTGCTGGGGGGGCAAAATGAATGCTTCGAGGGACCCCCCCCCCGGCTCCCTCCCCAAACCAGGGCCGCACCTGATCCAGTTCGCA